TTTTATAAGAGTTTTTTTTTGTAGTTTTTTTTAAACTATTATTTATTTTATTGTGTTTTTACAAACTTATATAGACTTTTTAGCACTGTAACAGATTCTAAACTTCACAACGAATCTTTGGTGCCGTCAGGCACTTCTAAACCAATCATTTTTAGTAGCTTTTATAAACCACTATTGCGACGCTTCGTGGTATATGTTGCTAATTGGGTTCACAAATTATGTTCTATATTGTCCGATTTTATATCCAATTCTTTTCATCCTTATTTTTTCTACAGTTTTCGAGTTGTGTATATATTCTGTTGAACTCTTTTATTTTTTTGTTTTCACTGCTTTACTCGTCATCTATTGGCTTTCACGAACGTTTCTTGAAGGAGTCATCTCCGACCATATAAGGTATATACACTGGTTGGCAAATATATTTTGTCATTGTATTTGACCATTAGACTATCTAACTAAGTACCGGTGAGTTGTTAGAACCGACAACGAAGATGAAGCAAAAGTTCAAATTGACAACTGGTTAATATGCAAAACATTTCGACAATTGTCCTTTGTTTTTTCGTCCTGCTGATAAGAATGCCAGCAAGCAACGATTTTTGAAATGGAAAATATATTTTGTCCTTGCGTGATTTTGTTGTTTCTGGGCAAGCTGAAACTGTGGTTCAAATATATTATTACAAGTTTTCATTAATATTGGATAAATTCGATTTTTTAATAATTAAAATGGTTAAAAAATCTGAGTTTAGCACAAAAATAAGATCAGAAATAGTGATCAAATATAACTTGGGTTTTTCCATAATAAACATAGCTAAGGAAAATAATTTGTCTCGCCAGACAATTTATTATCAAATTAGTAAATATAAAAAATTGAATGATGTGATCAATGTTCGCCGTAAGGGCAGAAATCGAAAGACAGGACCTAGTGCAGACCGTCAAATCGTCCGTGCTTTTAAAAAGGACCCTCTAAAAACACCAAAGGCCGTGTCCTTGGATTGGAATGAGACTGCATTAACTTCTATAAGTGAGAGGACAATATGCAGGCGTTTGATAGAAGCAGATATAAAAACGTATATTGCAAAGCCAATACCTTTTATAACCCCTAAAAATAAACTAAAGCAGTTGGAGTTCGCGTAAAGGTACATCACCAAGCCCGCTTCATTTTGGCGTAATGCGCTGTGGACGGATGAGAGAAGTTTTAAATTCTACGCATCTTAAAGGAAAATTTTTGTACGAATTTACAAGAATTATCGTAAAAAAATTTCTCCTGTGTGTCAAAGAGTAAGATATGGGGGTGGAAGCGTAATGTTCTGGGGTTCTGTTTTATATAGTGGTGTGGGAGACTTGGTTCCCATAAGAGGATTCATGAACCAAAACAGATTTTTATAAACCTTAAACGAATGTGTTTCCCTCCCACAAAAAATTAATAGGAAATGAATTTATTTGTCAACAGGACAACATTCCAGCTAGAATGATTACTAGGTTTTTAAGAGATGTTCAGGTTGAAACCCTCGAATGGTCACCACAAAGTCCTGATTTAAACATTATTGAAAATATGTGGTCGCTTATAAAAAGAAATAGAAGCACTTATTTCACCAGGACAAAAGCAGAAACCATCACTGAGGTCACAATGAATTGGAAAGAGATTTCTTTAAAATACCTTCAAACCTTGGTCGATTCCGTTACTAATCGCCTTCAAAAGGTCATAGACACCAAAGGAGAATATATTTTTTATTAATTTCCAGTTTAAAATAAATGTATAAAAAATACTACTTATGTAAAATTTAAACAAGTTTGTCAAAATACTTAAGCCACTGTAAAATTAATTGGTTTTAAGTTTTTATTTAATAAGAAATCAAAATCATTGTTAAGAAGAACAATTTGTTATATTTATAATATATTATAACTAAAGGAGTTATATACAATCCATAAATATTTTTCTCTTTAAAATAAAAAGAAATGAAAAAGAAACTGAGGCATCGCTATGAAAAAATACATTTGCCGACTAGTGTTCTTGATCAGCATCAACAGTCGAGTCGATCTAGCCATGTCCGTCCGTCTGTCCGTTTCTACGCAAACTAGTCTCTCAGTTTTGAAGCTGAATGAAACTTTGCAGTTAGTCTTCTATATACGAGCCGGATCCGACGATTATATCGAAAAGCTGAATAAGAAAGGTCGGAAAACTTTTAGAAAAAATGTCGGCTGTCGATGCTGATCAAGAATATATACACTTTATATGGTCGGAGATTAATCCATTACTGCGTTGCAAACTTTTAACTAAAATTATAATATTGTAACGAATTTTTACCGCGATCGGGCCACGGGCAGAGTTCACTCGTCCAGATCTTTAACTGGCCCCATGTGTCAAGGTGGTTATTTCTTAGCTTTTCTCTATTAGTGATCAGAGACGATTGCTTTTCTGGACACGTTCGTAAGAGAAGGAAACGAGAGCGCTTAGAGAGACCAGGCATCCTGGCTGTCAAAAGCCCTCATAATTGCCTATAAGTAAATTCGCCGATTTATGCGTTGCCAACGGCCACATATATCGCGGACTCTTCGAATCTGGCGGTTTTCGTTACATTACCCCCCCTCTCAGACTCGAGCCTCCTGGCCGAGTAATTACTCGGAATTCGGGTCCCGATATGGTGACAGGCGGTTGACATGAACGGTACTAATTGTACGTTTCCTTGGTAGCCGGATATTGTACACAAGGTCAGAGTGACGTCGGATGACGGTGGCGGGTCCAATCCAAACCGACTGCAACTTAGGGTATCGTCTAACCCTTCTAGTAGTAGCATATAGCCATACTTCGTCTCCAACGACGAACTCCACTGGGTGCGACCGAAGGTCAACTTAAATGTTGTCGTCCTACCTGCTGCGTTTGTCGGAGGCAGTTCTGCATTTGGTCCACGAATGCTGGGTAACTTTCCGGATTCGGGGACGGTCGCCCATACAAAAATTCGCTTGGTAGCCGGAGCTCGCCTCCCAGGCAACGAATTTAGCAGATAGTCCAGGAGAGTTCGGTTAAACCTCTCAACCATTCCGTCCGATTAAGGGTGCAACGGCGTAGTACGAGTCTTTGACATGCCGTTTATGACATGCCGGGTTAAATCAGTATGCCCCGAGTCATCGTCGTTTCGGGCAAACACCCGTCCATTTTGGGTGAAGGTGGGCCGGCAAGTCCTCCTTTGAGGGGGGCCTGTTGTGACAGCGGTTATTTTGGGGGTGTTCGACGACTCTCTTGGTCGGCGTAGCGTGGCGGTATTCTGGATTGCGGCAGACTATACACCCCGAGATTGAGCGACACTCTTTTTGGGCGGCGGCGGCGAGAGTAAAAGGGCCAGGCCGGCTTCTACTCCCTTACGAAGAAGACTATGGCGGGCGCCAGGTTGTTCATTGGGGGGCGGCGGCGCGATGAGGTGCTCCAAAAAGGTCGCGGAGGTAAGAATCCGGGCCAGTATTCTGTGAATGAAGAGGGGCAGGAGACGTGGGGAGCGGATACTCGCTGGGGCTTTCGGGATTGTCCGTCAACCTCCGCCCCGAAATGTTGACGGCAGTTAGTTTCTCGAGGACGACACGGGGTTATACGTCGCGGGCGTGAACTCGCCCAGGACGCATCTGCCCAAGCGTTACAGCTCCATTGAGAAGTCCTTGAAGGACTCTCGGGGTCCTTGCATCCGATTATGAAATGCATGATAGCCGGCATGCTTGCCGATCGTGAAATATTCGCGCCTACTATACATGTGTACAGTATAATGTATACAGCTTCCTGCACCTCTTCCTCTCTGACCAGTGGTATTCCTCGGTCATGTCGTCTTAAAGGCGCTGAAATTCCGACCAGGGACGGGTGCTGTCGAAAGTGGGTGGAAGCTCTGCGCCAGACACCTCCAAAATTCCCCAATGTGAGGTTAGGTCGCACGCTGTAGGCGGCACAAAAATTGGTACTGCACCTGGCCCGGAATCTATCCCTCTGTTAAACAGCTGCCGCGCCTGTCCGGAGTCCACGTTTAATGCCTCACCTACGCGCGGGTTGCTTGTGGAATGGCGATCGCTATCACGGCATGGCATGCTATCACGACGACGTGCCGGCCGGCCGCCGTTGCTTCCAGAACGGTCGTCAAGCATAGTCCTCTCGAAAGTCGCTTACATTTGCTTGAACTTCTGATCCAGCTTAAGGTGGAGCGACTGACCCAAAGCGTCCACTTTTTGCTCCATTCGCCAGAACGAGTGGTCGAAAGCTCGGTCCACGGCGTCCAACGATGCGACTCCATCTCGCAGCTTTTCCTGGCAACGACCTTCGGACGAGGACTGACATTTTCATAGGTCAGGGTTTTCGAAAACACTAGTGACCCCACACCTGGCACTAATGTATCGAATTTCTGCCTACGGAAAGTCGAGTGGAATTTTTTAATAGGTGTGGTTGCCCAGAACCCGGTCGGACCCACTTATTCGTCTAGATCTCTAAGTGGCCCCATGTGTCAAGGTAGTTATTTCTTTTTCCTTATTATTGATCAGAGACGAGTGCTTTTCTGGACACGTTCGTAAGAAGAAGAGAAGGAAACGAGAGCGCTTAGAGAGACCATGCATCCTAGCTGTCAATAGCCCTTATAATTGCGCCGAAAAGGGAATTCGCGGCTTCTCGCGTTGCCAACGGCCATAAATATCGCGGACTCCTCGAATATGGCGGTTCTCGTTACAATATTTTGCAAGGGTATAATAAGGCAAGCAACTAAATGAGACAGTACAGAAAGATACGAAAGGTTTTGTTTCTTAACTTGTATTTTTTAAGTCTATCAAAACGATAGTTCGTGTAATATCTGGGAAACTGAAAGGCCTTTTAACTTAATGCTTACAAAGGTATGCTCCAGGAACTCTAGAATCAATATATTCTGACTTAAGTTTTCTAAGTTGTTTTTAAATAAAATCGAAGTACATGCAATCAACACTTTTGTAACTACAAACAAGACATTGAGCTAAATTTTGTTTTGAGTTTCATATATACTTACATCAAAGTCCCGAAATACGTCTCGGATATCAGGCTTTCGTTTTGATCGGCACTTTGTGCGTCCTCGAACTGTTTTATTCAAAGCTTTAACACGTTGCTTGATAGCTGCCGCATAAGGTTGGGGCAATGTAGAAAGTACAGGTTCCAATTCAGTTGCACTTAACTCGAAGCCCTAAAAAATTAATAAATGCAAATAATTTAAAACCTATAATCGGCAAGAAGAATAATAAATTAATATATGGGTAATTCTCTATGCGACATTCGTACGCATTCAATCTAAAAAAAATATGTGCCATAACTTTATTTAAATTTGACTACATTTGAAACTTATGGCTCTTGGTTAGCACTATAATTGGTGCTAAGATCGACTTTGGGCCCTTGCTCGTTTTTAAGATTTTCACTGAATGTACTGCATTCGCACGCGACAAAAAAAGAAGTTACATTTGCAAGAAACCACTTTAAGCTCTGATTTCAGCAAAGCATGATACAAAATTGTAATGCAATAAATTTTAATTAATCATGCAATCAATTATATTAATAATATATTTTTTTGATTTTAAAATATTAAGTAGTTTTTTTTAGTTTTGAGAAAAACGCAAAAGAAGATAAAGAAAGTACTCTAAGGAATACCAGCAGCGCTCACTTCTAATGGCTGTATTCACAAGTAATGAGATATTTTTGCGCCCAATGTTTGAAGCCTCTAATGACAAATGAGGAGAGTTTCAAAAGATTGGTTGATCTTCGCCTCATAAAACCATGCTAACATGGAGAAATAACGGATCTATATAAGTGTTGCAAGCGGGGAGTGTTTACATTCTCGAAATTTTAGGATTGCCGAGAGGGAGAATATGTTGTTTTAAAAAACTCCGCAAAAATATCGGCAATGGCTAGGTTAGAGTTTTCGGTACTATTATTAAATGTAAGCGAGGAAGGGTATAAATAGGGTTTACGCTTGGTGTTACCAAAGGTTTATAACTGTTTTGAGTTCTGCACAAACTGTACCCTACAACGAGTCAAAAGTAAAGAAGTAAAGTTAGACCGAGCGCTTAGAAACCTACAGAGAATAGTGTGGAACCGGTGAGTTTATATATTTATTATAAAGTTTTGACTGCATTTTTTAGGCGTGTTAGCTCTTTGATGAACCAGGGCGGTTTAAAAGAGACCAACGGATAGGTTAGCGGAACACTTAAAGAGAAATGTACGGTTGCCATGTCATAGCATATGTAAAGATCGGATCAATTATATTCGTATATTAAAGTACTTAGCTTTAAGATTCTAAGCCTTATGGGCTATTTTGTACTCTTTTTATACCGTGTACCAAATTAAATACGACAGTGGTACCCAAATTCCCAGTGATTCTGGTGCACTCTTTCTCTTGGCGCGAAATTATCTTTTGCGGTGTGGTGGGTTTCGTAATTGACACAGTACTTCTTATTAATGAATGTCTTGAGCCGTGTCTCGTGCGCCAAGCCGTAGAAAACTAATTCGTCATGTTCACAATAAAGAACCTCGGAAAGTCTGGTTTTGATGTCGTCATACGGGACCCAGTAATAAGGGTAATCGAGAGAAGTGGTAAGTCCATCTTTGGAAATGCTCAAATGGAACCTACATTTCAGCCCTAGTTTAAACGAAAGTCATCATCTCTTAGGTAATCATTTTGATCCAACGACCAATATCTGTGAGTGTGCATAGGTATTGCTAGAACATTCAGTTAGCATTTGAAACACTGATGTGCGCTGACAACCCACAGAAGCGTCACTAAAACAAACACCGTTGCAAAAATAAAAAAGCCATTATCGCAAAGCAGTATTAAACCAAACCTATTCTAAATAAAATCTCGATATAATTCCAAATCTGTAAGTTTCTGTACTCGTGCAAATTTCAGTTGGATCATTAATCATTCATTCTTTCATTCCGTGCATATAAAAGTTCGCCGTGAACAGAGAAAGTGTGTTGTGGGGAAAGGGGGCATAATTAATATTGGCCAGCCAGTTTGCACTTGTTTCGGGAGTTTACCCTGTTCGCCCAACAGTTCGACGCTGTCGCGATATTATTTTGTATTTATTGTGTCGTATCCATACACAATTTATTCTGTTTACGCCACTTAAATGCAGTCCACTCTTCCACGCTCCACTCAAATATGCACCTTCAGTATAACCCAGCGAGCTTTTTCTCCGCGAACAAAAATTTTTTAATTTCTCCTTACGTTTTCAAATAATTAAACATATATACCCATACAAACAAATTAAAATAAATAAATACCTAAATATATAAAAATAAATTTGGATTAAAATATTTGGATCTTGCGGCAACTTGTGTATTTTTTGGATTGGTTTATCGTCGGCTGGCAGCCGCACGAATAGTGCTGTTTTCAAAAGCGCCGCCACCCAACTTGGACAATTGTTCCAGCGGGCCGGTGCCGCAGCACTCTGGCAAATGTTGTTTTTTTTTTGCCACTCGTGCCGCAATTGATCTGGGCCGGACGGGCGAAACAGAGTTCCGCTGTGGCACTCGCCTAGTGCGACCGACATCCGACATAGTTTTTTTTTCTTAGTTTTTTTATACCCATGCAGGGTATTATAATTTGAATCAGAAATTTGAAACGCAGTGAAGGAGTCATCTCCGACTATATAAAGTTTATATATTCTTGATCAGTATCCATAGCCGAGTCTATTTAGCCATGTACGTTTGTCCGTTTCTACGCAAACTAGTCTCTCAGATTTTAAACTATAAGAACGAAACTTTGCATATATGTAGGAACGAGCCGGATAAGACTCCTATATCATATAGCTTCCTTATCAACGATAGAAAAATTAATACAAATAAACACTATAACTACTTCAGTTTTCAACAGATTTTCATTAAGTTTGAGGTACAGCTTTTTTATTATATTCCAGAATTTTGGTTTTAATGGTATGAAAATCAGACCACTAATCACATAGCTCCAATAGGAACGATCGAGAAATTAATACTTATATACTAAATACTTTATTAAAACTTTTTCAGTTTTCAACAGATTCAAATTTGAGACATAGCCATTTTGGAATAGACCACCCTGAACGCATGAAAATTGGAGGGTTTTTAAAAAATGCCTTTTGACAATATTGTTAAGAATACAACTTTTTATTTATTAGTATATCAAAGTACATATGTTAAACTAAAAAATACTTATTAAAAGAAAAAAATATATTTACGAACGGCGGAGATATAGCCAGTCAAAAAATGATTTTTTTTTTAGGGAATGGTCGGATGGTGTGCATGCTGCACACCACATTTGTTATTCGAAATTCAAAAACAATAATGTTTTATAAACTATATAAGTATGGCTATAGCATGACGTAGCCGTTTTTGGAAACAATTTTTTTTTAGCAAATGGGGGCACTTTTAGACGAAATTATTGATTTAAAAATTTATAACTTTAAAACAAAAAATCATATAAAAAAAACCCTACGTCTTTATAGAGGACTTTATAGAGAAGCTGTGTAAAAAATTTGAAGAGAATCGGTCCAGCAGTTTTTGAGAAATCATGTACACCGTTTTAAAAAACGTAGTTTTGAGAAAAACGCAAAAGAAGATAAAGAAAGTACTATAATTTATACCGGCAGCGCTCACTTCTAATGGCTGTAGAATCCACATGTAATGAGATATTTTTAAGCCCTATGTCTTAAAATGGCCGTAAGAATATCGGCATCAAGATTAAGTAAAAAAGAAATCAGATTTTTAAAAAATGTCAGGGTGGTCTACCTCCTTAATACACAAGTTTCTGTTAAATTACAAGGCACCCTTTGCTCAGGTCAGTCGAAAAGCGCTGAACAGCAGAATTAGATTCCGGGAATTTTAAGTAAATATCCACATTCCAGGCACCCCGAAAACTGAAAATTGTGCCCATCAGGACCATATCCGGGCCCTGTGGAAAAAGATGGAGAAAAGATATAAGAGTACGGTCAACTGCGCATAAATCCGAGTACAGATTTTGCTACTCCGTAAATTTAAGATGTGTTGCCCAGCTCCAAGAAATAAATAAAAGGACGCTTCCCAGCCAAACACCCCTTTCTACGGGCTGACTCGCCCCTTTCATTGTCCGTGCGAAGATAAGTATACAGGACATTTAACTCCAGGATCTAGGGTAGGATGACGCCCTTGCTTAAGATTTCTTTGGAGAATTCATCCGCGCTCAATCGGGTCCCCATTCCAACCACATTTGAAAATCGAGTACCAGGGATTCTGCCACCATTTAAGTTCTCGTGAAGGTTGGGTACACGGTAGGGGTGAACTTGCTAACTGCAAACACCCAAGTGACCCCAGTCAAAGAGGTGTCGCTTCCTCGGTTGGAGTTGTGCGAAGCCTTATTATTGTTCGAAACGGCCAGCGCCGTTCTTTCTAACATGCCAGGTCTACGGACGCCCTAAACTGTTGGACTGGCTCAACGATTGTGCTCGCCTGGTTGCACACAGCGGTATGTCACTGGACAAATTTCGTGACCTAATAGGTGAACACTCAGCTCACCGAGATGGATAAATGTACACATGTCGGCTCCGGTAAGACCTTTGTGGGGGCGGCAGCCCTACTCTCCAGTGATTTTCTCAAAAGCCAAAAAGGGGCTGTGACGGATGGCTATAGCCATTAATAGCTGCTCTGGCATTTCGGTCCTCAACAATCGGTAGGGCAAGAGCTGTCTGACTCACTAACATTCTGAAGGAGCGTGTCAGCGAGGGGACTTTTGCAAAACGTGCAGCCAGGATTATCACAGGACCTTACGAATATCCTAAACAACGCCTTCCAAGAGACAAGTAACGTATCGTTTTCGAAAAAGCAGTACTCAACGTGGTGGACAAAAAAACAAAGCGATCTCAAAAAGAGAGCGCAAAAGTCCTTCACCACAAGCTATGTAACCCGGGAATGGGAATAATACAAAGCGCAAAAAGCATACGAAAAAGCAGTATATAACGCTAAGAAGGACTCCTGGCAAAGCTACTGCGAATCAATGTAAGACATAAAGGACACAGCGAGGTTATCATCATCGTTGTCACGGAGCGAATCCAGTGGGCAATAGATTCTTTTGAAAAGTACAGAAGCCCGGGCACAGACGGCGTAATACCGTCAATGCTACAATCAGACAAAAAAAAGCAAAAAAAAGTCATTTTCGTACCGAAACCAGGCACATCCTAGCAA